GAGCATGCACTTCAGAACTACTGCCTCTGCAGCTTACAAGAAACTTGATGCACTACTGCTGTCCCTCAGGAATGCATTAAGAGAGAGAGGACCAAGTGAGAGAACCTTGGACTGGATTGGTACAGCCTAACACAGGCAATTAGAGATCCTATCTACATTTGAAGGATAACCTTTGAAACACCAAACAGAGGCATAGATGCCTGCACTGCTGGCAGGTAGAGCACAAGCATGCCCGGTGATCTACTAAGCCACTTACTAGAGTAGCAGTCACTGTGCATATGCTCAGGCATGTGGACTCCCATGTGTTTGGGTGCTTCCCTACCACAGCAAGTTGTCAGTTCACAGCCAGCGTGAACAAAACTTGCTCCACAGCCTTTGCAGACATACACAAACCATCCGATACTCCTTTGGACTCCTGCCATTCTGTCTACTAACAAAAGTAGCCTCGGGTCACAAGAGCTCCCAGCAACAGACCCCAGAATCACTAGCCTATGAAGTGAGTTTCTGGCTGCCACCTTCCTTTCTCCCATGCCCTTTAAACAAGCTTTATATAAGGAAGTATTTCATCTGCAGCTAAAAGAATGATGTCTTCATGTCAGAAGGAAGAGTCATTCCTCAGTAGGCAACAAGTAGCAAATAGAAGGCTTGCCTCCCTTCCAACAGCACAGGTGGGAAGCAGCCTGGCCCCCATCACTGTTATGATGGGGGGGATCACACAACTGAGGCAACAGTTGTTAAGCAGGAGAGGAGTCAGGCACCTTAACACACTCCACAAACTACAGAATGGCCTGGGTTGAAAAGGACCATAATGATCATCTAGTTTCAATCCCCCTGCTGTGTGGAAGGTTGCCAACCACCAGACCAGGCTGCCCAGAGCCACATCCAGCCTGCCATCTGTGGCATTACTTTAAGATCTACTGTTTCTTGCATCCAAACTTACCTGCGCCAAAAATACAAGTCAAAGCAGTTTAAAGTAATATAATTAATGTGACTTTTTTGTGTGTGTGATAGATACAGTGCTTGACAAGATAGGTTAACATAATAAATATTTCAGCAGTTTAAAACTTGCACAAAAGGAATAGGCTATAACAACGTGGGCAGTATGAATGCAGCAAGATAACACAGCTAAAAATGTCTGCAATACACAGCCTCAGAGGAATTCTAGGCCATGCAACCAAAACTGGACGCAGAAATTCCTTTTCAGAAACACCGGATAACCCAGTAATTACGATGTGGTAACATCATGAATATAACACAGTGGCTACAGCACATCCACGCCAAGCATTACGCAATTCCTTGGTAAGAACATGACGTTCCCTTTTAACACAGGCCAATGATAGCAGCCCTATATGAAATACTGCAGCAGTCAATCTAAACTAGTCAGAATCTACTGTTCTTTTGATTAGTGATAATCTGCTCAGCTTTATACACCAAGTATACCTCATCCCACACTAACTTGCCCATGTGTTTGTACCTTAAGGTGTCAAACAAACCCAAACTTTTCTACAGTAAAGCACATTTTAATATTGTATAAGTGTTAGGGAAATGAGGGTGTGGCAAGAACCCAGGAAGAAAGAAGAAAATTGGTTTATCAGTCTGTATCTAAAGCAAACACTTCCCGGTCAGAATAAAGTCTGAGGTAGAAGAAAAGTCTAGAATCCACTTCAAAGCACTTTGCTTCCTTCTCATACTGCAGCTCAGCTCCACCAAAAATCTCAGTTTACCAAAACCAGTGATTTTTCACAAGGGAAATTTATCGGCATGAAACTATATTGTTCAGAGATAAGCTCAAATAAGTCTATTTGAAAAGCTGAGGCTGTTATGAGCTTCAATCTTTGTGATTGAAGATGGGTGGAAAAGGTATTAGACTGAGAGCTACCACAGTATGCTGACTCTTTATGATTCTCTGTGGAGGCATAAAAGGAATATGAGTAAGCTGTAAGAATGAAGATTACTGAGATTTTCAGATTGCATTAGTGTGTTAAAATAAATATGGGAAGCCTACAACAAACCTCAGCAACTGACAAATAAAGATGTTGGCAAAACCACACAGTCTTTGGATCACAAACGGATCTAGAAAACTTGCTGAATTTGAAGAAAGTGTACAAAAGGCAAAATCCTACTGTTTGAACCTTCACATTCCACATTAGATCAAGGCCAACTACAGGACAGACTGTGTTCTCTCACTGCACGAGGTTGGACACTCTGCCCAAACTACCAACTACTCTAACAAACCATTCTCCATTCTACTTTAATCACCTGAAACAGCCAAAACTACACCAGAACTGAAGGATATGACTTCTTTCTTCCACTCCAGGCCAAAGGCCCTCTCTGAGAGCACCCCCTCAGACTAGAGACAAGGCCTCTACACCTCAGGACCATGTCCAACTCACAACACTGATGGCAAGGCTTGGATCAAGAGAAGACACTGTCCCATTCTCCAGTGAAACTTCATCACTTTACAGAAACAGAGTAAAAAGTTAAGATAAGAAATCACGAGAGCATGCCAACACACACAAGTGTGAGAAGGGGCCTGGTATTATAGCACAGTGACAGGGGCTCTCTCATTGACATGAACTAAGTTATAGGCCCCGCTCTTGAGTTTTGTATTTGAGATCCTCTGCATGGTGTGCATGAGCAGCACTGTGCTCCAGGCTAAGGTCAAGGGCTAACAGACACCTGGACACCCAGAAGGCAGGAAAAGTTTGAGTTTCACCAAGTTCAATGGCCCCAGACAGTCCAAAGAACACTGAGACATCTAAAAAATAAGCCCACACGTTTAACTGACAGCTGGACGTATTTTGGTTTTATCAAATATACATTATCAAAACTAACCATTCACAAATAAGTAGTTATTACTTGCTGCCATCACAGGGAGGCACGTGGATTTAACCTTGACAACAAGCAATAGCCAGCTCCAGAAGTTCGCTGCAGTTCTGAGAAGTGACAGCTTGCGTTAGCTGCCACCTGTAAGCACTCTGTGGTTACGGCAATGCTGGCAACTTGAAGCAGTTCTTCATTGCACTAACAGACTTGGCCACAACCCTCTGGCTGGAACAGTTACATAATTTCCACCTTTCCACCTTGATTTGTACAGATGTAAGGGGCGGCCACTCAATGTCAGAAGTACAAGCACACCACAGTCTTACGTGCCGAGAACAAGTTGAAAGAAACTTCATGGCTGAAAGCCAAGAGACAACTTATCGCAGCACCCTCCCAGGTTACTCCGGAGCCACGTTGCCGTGTCTGCCCAGAACACGATGTCAGCAGTTCACTTTGCTAGACCCACAGAACTGCTACGGACACCCCGCGGGGTTCCATTAGCTCTCACAGCGCACACAGCAGGCTGCATCCTACCCAACCCACCGGGAGATGTGAACCGTCAGCCCGGCTGTTACCGTGCGGCTCGCTATTTGCGTGAAACTCTACTTACATAAACGGTTTTGTAATCACACATGTAATAGCGTGCACCCCATGTCAACAGGCGTTCCGCCGCGGTCTCGGGGCACAGCACGTCCCCGCTCCCGGACCTGTTGCCCGCCCCACCTGTGGCTCCGCGCAGCACCCGGGAGCGCCGGGAGCGCAGCGGGGGGGGCGCCGAGCCCCGCTCCCGTGCCCGCCCACCCGGCGCCCGCGGCACGGACCTCTCACCGCGGCGTCGCGCCACGCGGCCACCGGAGCGGAGCCCGGGATAACGCGGAGGGACCGGCCACATCGAGCGGGCCGTCGCCCCCCTCGGCTGCCGTGCCGGGAGCCGCCCCCCCGCGCCAGCTCCGCGCGCCGGGCCGCCGCCCCCTCCCTCGCTCCCTCCCTCCAGATCCAAGGATCGGGGGCAGAGCCGCCGCCCAGCGCCGGCTGCGGTGCAGCGCCCGCCCGGCCCCCTCCCGCTGCCCTACGGATGGCTCCGTCCCGTCCCGCGGCGGCGGGAGAGCCTCGGCCGTGGGTTACGTAACCTCGGCCCGGCGGACTGGGGGGGGAGCGGGGCAGCCCGCCGGGCCCCGCGCGGCCACCGATCGCCCCCCACCAGCCTCCCGACCCCGCTCGGGCGCGGGGAAAGTGCCGCGGGCCCCCAACTCACCGTACGCCTCACGTCCGCCCAGCGCGGCGCAGCCCGGCACCGACTTCATACAGGCAGAAACGTGACCGGGCGTCCGGAGCCCGCCCCTCCCGCGCTGCCATTCGCCGCGGCTACGTGACGCAGCCGAAGGAGCGGGGCGGGGGCGGGGCGCGCAGCTCTCCCATTGGCTGCGCCGCACGCCGCTCACTTTACATAAGCCTCACGTGTGACACCATGTTTCCACCGCCGGCCGCCACCGCCGCCGAGCCTGCCCCGACGGCCTCCCCTCCCCCTTCCCATCGCCACCACCCCTTTCCTACCGCCGCCACCCCCCTACCTCCTTCTCCCCCTCCTCGCACGGCCCGCGGAGCGCTCACCGCCGCTAGGCAACCCCCCGCCGCGCCGCTCCGCGCCTCCTTCGGACCGCGGCTGCCGAGGAGGGCAGAGGTTACATCACGCCTCGGGGGAGGGGGGGGAGCGGCTCCGCCCCGCCCCTCAGAGCCGAGCGTGACGTCAGCGCACGTCCTCTGGGTTAGCGCGCAGGGGAACGTTGGCGGTCGCGGCGCGCGCTCGCGGGCTCAGGAGGGGCGCGCGACGAGCCTGCCAGCAGCCGTTAACGGTCGCGGCGCGCGCTCGGCCCCGCTGAGGAGAGAAGCGCGGGGCGGCGAGAGGCGGCGCGAAGGGGCGGGGCGGGGCGCGTTGCCTGGGAGCGCCGTACACAGACCCCAAACAGCGCCCGGCAGCGGGGTGCGGGGCTCCGTCACGAGGCGTTCCGCCCCGCCCCGGGCCTCGAGGAGCTCCGCGCCTCAGAGGGAGCGGGCTGCGGTGCGGAGGAAGCGGCGGGAGGCGCCGGGACGGAGCTCCTTACATAAGCGAGCAGTGCCCCTGTCCCGCTCCCCGATTTTGTACACGCCCCGGGCTTTCGAAACGTGCCGGCTGACAGCGCGGAGCTGCCTTCCTCCTGCTCTTAGCGAGCCTGGAATCACCACAGAAAGCTTTAACGCTAAGAGTCTCTGAGGCGTTCAAGGTACGTCCTGTTCTCGTGGAAAACCAGTTCCCGATACGCCAATTGCAGTGCAATTATTTCCATTCCGAGTGTAAGAATGAACTTTTCGTGTTTATTCTCCGACGCTCAGTATTGACATCGCCCATCTCACAGTGAAAAATTCACATATTCCTCCAGCTGGTGACGCTGAGTTGTGCCCAGGCCCCGCACTGTGGTGCAGGAGGACCTGAGATGTACCTGGTGCAGCAGTGTTGCCCGCTGCTGGCTGCCCTGCACTTCTGCTCGTTAATATTAACGAGTTTATTCACATTCCGAGCCTTCTTTCTCTTCGTCGTCACACGTGGTGATGAAAAGAGGGCACAGAGGAGATGCCAAAGCTCTGCCAGCTTTGGTGTGAATACAGCAATCGGGTGTAACTGCATGCGTGAGGCTGCTCCATGGGAAGTAAGGCAGCAGAGAGCCATCAGGGCTTCCACTGTTTATCTACAAAATGAGGTTAATGCCGCTTCCCTCCTTCACTGTGGTTGGTGTTAAGGATAAGTCCATTAGGTCCATAGATATTTAAGCAACAGCTATTGCAGAAACAGCTTGTGAGTAAAGTACCCAGCAGTATTTAACTCCTGGAGGGGAGAGGGGGCAGGGAGCGGAAGCATTAGGACCGGATTCCACAACTGGATTTGTTGCAAAGCACAAGTCAGCTTATCAGGATCCCTATTTTAGTTTGCACTCCCCTGAAGTTTCTAATTTAAAGACTAATCCTAATTAGATACACTGTATAGTTTGGTCAACTTAATGGTGTTAGTGCTTCACATCCAGAACTTCATCATTCTGTTTAAATTATCTTTGTTAGGGATGGATGGATGGATGGATGGAAGTACAATGACATTCTTGGGTTCCATGGGATGCTGACTTTTTTTTATGTCATATGCCCAAACTACCCATCTTGTCTGTGTGCTGAGGGCTGCACTTCTAACCATGTGTTCTAAGTCAGGCCAAGCAAAAACACTGAGGACCCTGCCTGTCCCAGCTGTGTCAGAGTGCACACACAAGGAGCTGGAGGCAAACAGTAGCACTGTGCTACAGCTGAATGAGTTCCAGAACAAACAGAACAGAGACACATCCATCACTGTAGTGCAACACACCAGTTCTAGCAGGAGAACATTGATTACCATCACCAGAAAAAGCCAGTACCTTTTCTGCCCTAGTATCGACCAGATGCATTATTTGAGTTCTGCTTATTTTAAAAGGATTGGTCAAAGTATACGCTCACAGAGAATCAATTTAAAGTTCTATTCTTGCCACTTTTTGGTATTAGTACAATAAAACATATTAAAAAAAAGAAAAAATGCCACACAAAAATGGGAAAGCAGTTATTCAAAGAATGACTGTGCAATTGGAACAAACTCAGTCCAAAGTTTTCTACTGTACCTATTTTCTGAAAGTTGGCATCATGTATAAAAATTCAAGTTATTCCAGGCACCACCAGTATAAAATAAGTCAGACACATGTCTTCTGGAGCAATGAATATTACTAGTGATACAATGGCTCATCTGTTAAGAAGACAAAAGAAGGTGGTTATAAGTGGCAACAGGACAAAACTCAAAGCGAAATAGTTTGTTGTAATTTTAAGCTTCCTCTGCTTACTAAGTAGCCGTAGCACAAGGGCTTTAGTAGCAGAATAAGTAAAGTACATTTCCTTGTGTGTACACATAAAAAAAATTAGGATTTATCCATATAGAAGTCAAATCCATTATGTAAGTCCATTTCATCATACAACAGCACATCTCTCACTAGTATTGCATGGGGCACTGTGCTGCTTTAATTTCTACCTGGCTCCTCCATCTAGTTTTGCAAGGCAATCACCTACCTGTGTGAAACGGGAGGGAGGGTAGCAGGCCTTCCTAGTAGGGTCCAGCCATAAGCAGCCAGGTTCGGGCTCTGCAGTTTTCTTTCAGTTGCAGAACTATCATTATTCAAACTGCACTATCGATACATAGTTTGCTACTGACTCTCTTCCTTGATTAGCATTTTTTTGTCATTGTTGTTTCAGCATAGTGTCTTTCTGAATTACCAAAAGATGAATTGCTAGAGCTCAACTTTTTTTCTTCTTTTCTTAAATGTTTTACATTAATAAAATGTAATTTAGGAAAACTTTTGTATGTGAAACTGCATCCTACCTCCAACATTGCTTAATATTATCAGTACTCCACCCCCCACACACCCCCACCCCCAAATACTGGACATTTTCCCAGCATATTTACAAAATAAAAGTTAGAATTTGCTTAGCAATAGTATTTCAATCAGTTCTGGTGAACAGCAACATATTGACACTATCAACTTTTCTGGGGGGAAAAAAAAAACATTTTGGAAAAAAAGGAAAAGAACCAAATCCTTCAACGAGGAGAAAAAAATGCTACCTGTTTGAGGTTACAGCACAGCACTGATGGAACTGTGTATTGTTGAGGGAGAAAAAATCACTGTTTTGCAGCTGGAGCCCACAACTAATTCTTCATTCCTAAGTCTAATTACTCATCATTTACAGTGGCACTCAGTTTCATTGATTCTTGCAGAGATCTGGAAAGGCATTTTGCTAATGAGCAAGAAGTGTCACTGTTACTGTCTGTGCAGATGAAAGATGAGGGAAGAAATAAAACCACTTACCTCATTACTGGTGACTACATAGGTAAGCTTTTCTTGAAGCATTCTCAAGTGTAGGAACAAAGTACAACAAACAGAAAGCTAGCAATATCTATACAATCTTGGAAACTGATTAAAAGTCCTTTGCAAAGATGAATGGCTGTCTCTGGCCAGAAAACCTGAAGAATTCTGGGGAATACTTTTTTTCATTCTGCCCACATTCTGAATGTTTTCTTGTTATTTTTATTCAGTTTCTGTTGACAACCGCAGTATAATTTTAAGGTTCAACTATCTTGAAAAGTGACATGTAAAGGAACATTGCATTGTTTTGATTTAGAAGGACTGAAAGAATACAAATGGAAGGGGTGTGTCTCATCACCATAACTCTGTGTGCTGATCTTAAGTCTGTTACACAAATTCAGAAGCAAATACAGCTTTGAGAACTCCCAGGTCTAGGGTCAAGCTGTAGTGTCTATCAGCAACTCATTTTCAGCAGTCATTTTCACAGGAGTCTGAAGAAAGCCTGAACTTCAAACCATAGGGCCAAAAAAGTTTTCAAGCTTCCTGTGTAATTCGGAGCTTTAGTGTATGGCTTCACAATCTACCTAAGGTGATCTAAGGCCTTACAGAAGCACCAAAAGGAATGGTAACACCACCTCTACTAAGTTAAAAAGTAGAGATTAAGCAACTGTGCTTTCAACTGCATTAGGAAATTGATTTGACTGAAAAATTCTAGGACAGCAGTTTTTGGTTGGGCCATATCACAGCTGCAGGACCACTAAAGCCAAAAGAAAATAGGATGGAAGACCAGATTCTGGGTCAGAGCAGAGATTCCAAAACCTATTGATATTAGCCAACAGTATGTGGAATTATGGAGTCAGGCATTTAAAATGAAATTTGTATGTCATTAAACTAACATAACTAACACTAGTAAGGGATGATGAACAGAAAACCAATCTTCATTATGCTGGATTTTTGTGCCCTCTTCTGCACTGAAAAGAAGCTCCTTCATCAGGCTGGTGTTCACCATTCAGAACCATCCATGTAGATGCTAAAGACAGCTTTCACACGGTCTCTGAGCTAGTGTAACACTGGGCTTTCATCAAGGGGGGCAGCGCTTCTCTTCATGCCATCCCTGCTAGTACCATGCTACCATATTTATGGTTACATGGTCTTCACCCTCTCTTTTGCCTACAGTACTACTCACTTGACCTCTCAGTGAGACAGAAAACTTTCTTAGTTTCCATGCATCAAGCAACTGAATCTGGTTTCTTGGTGAGTAAACCCAATTCAGAGTCAATTCATGGCATGGACAGGGCAAACATGAAACAAATGGGAAAGATCTTTTTAAAGGCAATGAGACAGTAGAATAGCATTTCCAGAGTTTTTGCTACCTGAAGCATGCAAATTTCTGGATTAAACACAGGCCAATGTAGCACATCTCCTTGAGATACCTGGATTGCTTCACAAACACCTGAACAGCAGGCCTGTGACCTGGTGCTGTGCCTGCAGAACAGTGTGTAACCCAATCCTGGGCTCCTCACAATGTCTGATTCCTCAAAGTGCTCCTATTGATTTAAAAGTACACAGAGTTACTGACTTCCATCACACTTATCATCTCTTTTTGAACTCCAGTAGAGTGAGATGTTATCATTCTTAGCAAAATGGAGCAAGAGATACACCTTCTTTTAATAATAGAATAAGGCTAAAGAGACAAGATCTAGGTACTGGCTTCCCCTCTGGTGAGCATTTATGCAATTTTTTATTAAATAGTCATTACGTAAAACATTGGATTATGACTTGGCACAGGATTGGAACTGGGCTCTTTCTTGTTCCCGGATAAGCTTTCAATAGTTGTGCCATGGGGTCATTCTGCTGCCCTTAGCTGCCAGGAACCTGTGGGTACAATGCTTCTGTAATTTGTTCCCAGTTTTAAGAAACAGATTATAACATTAACTGATTATAACAGAAACCTTCGTAAGAGAATGGATGCTAAATAGCAGACTGTTAGAATCTCTTCCAACACATATACAGCTCTCCTCATCACAGTCATAACTCAACCCAGACTATCAGGTATTCATTCATCCTAACATGGCTACTAATCACAGCTTGGTGATTTATAGTTGGTGAGGAAGGAAAAGGCAGATTTTAAATTATAAGGAGCCTATTTCCTCATATCTCCTCATATTTCTGAAGTGTCTCTTAATTAAAAACACTTCATTTTTAGATTGAGTTTCTCATTACCATTCAACCTCAATTAGTTTTATGGTGTTAGTTCACACGAGACACTTTGAACACAATGCTGCTGCTACTGAAGTCAATGGAAGCTTGGTTTTGTTTTCAAGAGAGCGTGCATACTAACTGGCTGTGTTTGCTTCAGAAAG